AGCCAAGATGTCAGTCTGACTTCACATCCCATACCATTGGCAAGAGGTACTGTGAAACTGCTCTGGGATCACGAACAAACAAACTACCTAAGAGCTTTAGTTGCTGAGACAACCTCTACTCAATTGAGGTAGCTCTTGTTGTTGTTAAAAAATAAAAAGAAAAACACTGCCACCAAGTCAATTCTAACTCATAGTGACCCTGTAAGACAGAGCAGAACAGCCCCACAGGGTTTCTAATGCTGCAAATCTTTATGGAAGCAGCTGGCGAATTCAAGCCACTGATCTTTTGGTTAGCAGAAACCAGAAAAAAAAAAAGAAAAGCTCATTGACGTCGAGTGGGATCTGACTCAGAGCGACCCCTCCTTGGGTTTCCGAGGCAGTATCACTATGGCAGTAGATTGCTCTAACCACAGCGGCACTAGAGCGCCTACTGTTGTTGGTAGTGCCGTTAGGTTGGCTCTGACTCCTGGTGAGCCCACATGCGTCAGAACGAAACGGTGCCTCATCTTCCGCAGCCTCATGATCTTTGATACGTTTGAGCTTTGTCAGTGGACACTGCTGTGTCCGTCTGTCTCATGAAGTCTCCCCCGTTTTCGCTGACCTCCACTTTACCCAGAGTGATGTCGTCTCTACCATCTGGACTTTCCTGATGACATGACCAAAGGAAACAAGACAGCATCACCCCATCCTTGCTCCTAAGGAGCATGCCTGGTGTATTTCTAGAGACAGCTCTAATGGACACAGAAGAAGAATAGTTCTAAATTCAAAACTAGACTCCTAGAATTCGAGTGATACTATGATTCAATTTTTTAAACCTTTGCTTATCTAAATTCTCTACAATACAGGTCTCTGAAGCAGAGTAGGTAATCCAGCACTTACGGCTGTGTGACCTTGGCTAAGCTATGTAACTTCTCTGAGTTTTGGTTTCCTCATTAGTAAAAGTGAGAAAGAGTTGCCAGGAGGTGTAAAAGAAAGAATTTGTACAAAATCCCTGGCACATAGCATGTATCTGTGTATGTGGTGATTGTCACTTAATCACCATAGGCCTGAATTTCAAGCTGGAAACTTAAATTACATCCTTAAGCCAAAGAAATCCACAGCTTTTGGAAACTGTGCCAATATGAAGGGCAGGTGAGCAATAGCTTTCCTGGGATAACACCGCATCACAGACAGTGGACTTGTCATTGTGAGTTGCCATGGAGTGAGCTCTGACTCATGGTGGCCTTTTGTAAAACAGAACAAAACATTGCCTAGCCCTGTGCCATTTGCATGACTGTTAATACGTTTGAGCCCATTGTTTCAGCCATCATTTCAATCCAGTCCCTGGGTGATGCAAACAGTTACTGCTCACTACTAACCAAAAGGCGGGCGGTTCAAACCCACCAAGAGACACCTCGGAAGAATGGCCTGGTGATCTAGTTTTAAAAGATCAGCCTTGAAAATACAGTAGTTCAGCTCTGCACACGTGGGGTCACCAGGAGTCAGAGTCAACTTGATGGCAACAAGGGGAAGTGAGCACATCAAAAATAATTAACAGAAGAGACTGATGTGTTAAAACTG